AGTAAGATTTATAACATAAAAGGAGTATATAAGTAGTTGGTAAGTATATCTGATGCACCATATACTTTAATTTAAGTTGCGTTTTAAGTACATTATGTGTATAATATAATTACTAAACAAGTATTTTTACTTTATTTGGAGGCATATTTCAAAATAACTTCTACGTTTCTTTTTAATTCATGTTTTTTCTGTAATGCTAAATAAACATTTTAGGAAAAAAGTATGATCTCTTATTTTACTTATTCTTTCTGGACTTACTTTATTATTTACCTACTTTTAGCTTACCATTAAAAATAACACTTCCATATTAGAATTATTTTCGAAACACAAGTTATTTTATTTTAATTTGATTTCAAAGGATTTTCAGCATTGTAAATTACTACATTTTTACTTCATGTTCTTTTTACTGCAATTTTAAAAATCAATTGGATCCTTCTAATTAGCTCCAGCGGAACCTTGGTATAACTGAGCAAAATTTTAAGACTTTTAACTCTTAAATTTTGGCAAAAATATTTTTTCGTGATTATTGAGCTAAATATAATTAAATTTCTGAAAATTTAATGTAAGAGGCATTTCCGATTTTGACAGTTTTTTTTTTTTTTCAACTTATAAAATTATCGACATAAACATAAATATCTTAATACGTTACGCTTTACCAAAGTGGAAAAAGAATCATTTTGAAAAAAAAATTATGCCAATAAAATTATGTTACTATATTGAATAGCAATACACAAAGGAAAGTCAATGAAGCATGAAGGTTGTGTCAGATACAATGTTATTAAACTCTATCCAAACTGGAGTCATTTTCACATGCAAAAAATTGTTCACGATTTTAAGCACAAGTGATGTAATTATACTGCGTATAAATAAAATTTATAAACATTCATTAAATACACAAATTAATTAAGGTTTGTGAAATTCAAAGAGAAATATACATAAAAATGTTAGAGACAAAACACTGGAAAAATATTTTGTACAATAAGGATTTCAATTTAAGGAATAACATAAGTAGCTTCATAAATTATGGCTTCACTCTACATGAATAAAGTTAAAATATTACTTTTATTTTGCCGCTTTTTATATTAAATCTTATTTTGTATTCTCAATGATTTATTTAACAATCGGCGAAATACAGTCGTAAACATTTATACCAAATTCGTTAAAGATACATTCCTTTAAATTTTATTCTCTTCTGACACTAAATGTTAAACATTTCAGATATATGGAGGAAGATTTATCTTTAATCTAATTTAAAAAAATCCAGAAAACGAAAGGAAAAAATTTGCAGTCAGTAGGATTCGAACCTACGCGGGGATAAGAGCCCCCTTGGAGATAGAGTCCAACGCTTTAACCACTCAGCCATAACTGCTCCCTGAACCGCGGGTTATTTATCTTTCAGTACTAAATTTTCATATTCTGACATACTCTTACGATTCTTCAGTGAGATGGGTAAGTTTTACTTATTTTAGTATAGAATTTTTAAACTTTAGTTAATAACGCATGAAGTTAGAATGGTTAAATTAATTTTTTCGTTTTAAGTTCGTACACTTTTTTAAAAATACAAAATAACATAACCGAAATAATAGCTTATTTTCTATTCCCGAAGAGACACAATTTGAAAGATGTATAGTATAAATTATACATATTATTGCATCAAAGTAAAGCTAAAAAATGCCTTTTTTCTAAATACCTCCAATTAAATTTTTCTTCTTTTTTTGAAATATTTTTTAAAATTAAAGTACAACAAAAATTTAAAATTTTCTTTCTATTTATCAAATCTATATATATAAATAATAATGAAGTGTCTGTTTGTAATTTGAAATTAACAGATTTTTACTAAATGCATTTAAAAGTATATGCGGTACTTATATGAAAAAATCAATTTTTAAAATTTTTGTCTATCTGTCTTTCTGTGTGTCTGTTTGTTCCGGATAATCTCTGAAACGGCTGGACCAATTTTGACGAAACTTTCACTGGTAGATAGCTAATATGAGAAATAACTTAGGCTACTTTAATTATAGGGAAAAAAATTAGGGTTCCGCGAAAATAAAATTGAAACGAATGAAATGGTGAACAATATCCGTTTCAAATAGGGATTATTTTTATTTCAATAGGGATTATTTTTATTCATTTAGGATTATTTTTAAGCAATAGGGATTGTTTTATTTCGCGAGCCTTCTGTCTCAACGTTTCTAGCATTTATATCACACTTTTTTGTTTAATTAGGTTACTGACACTTGCGATTTTTCCCGTTCCTGTCTGATACTAATGATTTTAACAGTCTTCACACCATCGACACTGTCAAAGGTCATGCATCTTTCTTAAATCTTGCTTGCGACTTCGTTTGTGTTCGTTTCACTCTACCCAGTCCTCACCCATTCGACAGTGTCAAAGGTCACGCGACCCTCCTCCCCCCCTGCTTCAGATTCGTCTCACCCAAATGCTACTCACAGGTAAACAGGGTCACAGGGGTGTTAAAAATGTTTCGAGAGCACAAAATATGAACAATTTTCGACTAGAAATAATTCTTTGAGATTAAAATGAAATAATTTGATTCTTTTACACATTTCTTATAAAGGAATAAAGTTTCAAAAAAGAATAAAATATCTAAAGTGTAATCATAATTTTAAAAATAATAAGCACATAAAAATAAGAAAAATTTTTGTAAGAAACAAATAGTGAGTTTTACGACGCGCATGATATTTTCTGCAATAATAATTCTAATTACTAGCAATAAGTTGATTTATAAAGTCAAATATATCCTTATTACATGCTAGCCTATCTTATATAAATAGAATAAAAAATAATATTTTTAAAAATAAAAAAGTACATTTTTTAAAAATTTTTTTAAAAAATTCAATTTTTGTTGAAATATTTCAAAAAATTAAAAATTTTTAATACTATAAATAGCTAGGATTTGAAGATTATGATAGAATTTATAATTCTGTAAAGTTTTATACATCAAAGTATGATAGTTTTTGAAACGCAATACGCGTAATTGAAAAAAACACAAACTGGGAAAAAAGGCTTTAAAGTTTTAAAATTGAATTTGAGAAAATAAATTTTAAAACTTACATGCTAAAATGCTCCAGGATCATAAGATATACCTTCCTGTTCCTGAAACAGCTCAATTTCTTTACTCTTTTTAATTTTCTTGGCTCTGCGAGCTTCAAAAGATGATTCTAAGCGCCTCTGTCTTGACGTAAAGATTCGACGATTGTCACTTTCAGCCAGGGACACACAAACATTTCTGTTAATTTTTAAGCCAAATTCTCTAAAATAGTAATAAGTATTTGATTTCCATCATTAAAAACACTGGTTGCTAGATTTGCAGCAATCTCTGCAATCTGAAGACTAGAACCAATCGTCTTAGGACAAAACTTCCAAATTAATGAATTTAAACTTACATTAGGATTCTGTGTCTTACCTCCTAAACATTTCTTCAGGAGTGCCGGATGAGATAAGTCTGCAAATACAGGCTTAATTACATCTCGAACAGCTTTAGCAACTGAGGGTTTGTGTTTATAATTTTGTAAATTATTATTAATTGCGGCATTATATACTTACACCATGTATTTGGATTTGTAGGAGAAAACCAGTGCATCGGCTCATCATCAGTGCTGCAAGAATGACCCCAAACAGCCCAAATGGCTTTCCGCATTTCCTTTAGAATTGCATCGAATAGCATTACCATAGTAATGCGCAAGTTTATCAATTAAACTATCAGTTAACCTACCTTTACAGCCAATAGTTTTACCATGAGATAATTTCTTTTTACTATATACTAATTTAAGCTTCCTAAGTCTTGTACCCATTCTCTTTTGCACATGACCTACACATTCTATTTTCTGAATAAGATGGTCATCACCGTATGGCTTGTTTTCAGAAAGGGCATTGAATGTTTTTATGTCGCCATCTCCTATGTAGTTTGAATATTTTAGGTTGTGAAGCTTTTCTGATTGATTAAAAATCCTCAACATCCCGTCAATCTCCATCTTACCAGCAGAGCCAGAATAATTTTTTCTACATGAAATCTTATGCGCTCTTTGCCATTTATTGTACTTGATACCAAACTTTACCCCTTTATAACTGTCGCAACCTTTGCAAAATGAGGACAACACTTCCCTATGCAAAACCTTACCTATTTCGGCCCCTATTACAGTACATACTCCAACCAACGATGAATGTCCTCTCGTCTTCCAGGTACCATCACCACTTACCGTTAAAAGGTTATCAGGTGACGAATAATTTTCTACGACAGCTGCCCTTTTCATGCTTTCTTCCGCGACTTCCTTCATAACACGTGGAAGTTTATTATTAATAACATCATATGATTTTTGTTCAACAGGATTAGGAAGACTCATTACAGCACAAAAGGTTTTTAATGATTCTAAACCTTGGCCTATGCATCTCATTGCTAAAATAGATCTTCTGTTAATTTCTGAAGCATTATTTTTATTCCCAGTGTTTTCACAGCTTGAAAAAGTACAAACACTCCCACAGTTTTTACAACGTGTTTCAAAATTCGAACATAAACCACGAGTGGACTTTTCATTAATTGTTAGTGGTTTATGACATTTTAAACAACATGATACTGATAAAATAGAGCTAAAGGTTGAAATAAAATCAAAAATACGATATCCTTTGAAGTTTTCACTTACCTTAACAAGATTTGACTTTAATGAAGTCTGAATTCCTGAGATTTTATTACTGGAAGCACACACTTACTTGTATCTCTCCTTTCTGCAACATATGTATGAGGACATACCTTCATGAATTGGTTCCCTCTAAATCTCTCTTCTTTTCTTAGGACGTTTACCTGAAGGTCTACGATGTGTATTTTCCATTTCAATCGAGAGAGTTTTGTTTTCAATTTTGATAAACGGTTTTAAACAACGCTGTTTTGAATTTCGATAAGTTATTTCAAACAACGTGCTAGCATTACCAAAACAGAATCAAAACACATTAAAAAAGTGTGTGTTGAGTTGCAAGCTTCCTTCTCATTTAACCAAGTGTTTAAAATATTTCATGAGGCTTTTTAAAAACAGAAAAATAAAACGTATGCGGAAATCAAGAATAAGTGGGTGTGGCATGTGGCCATTTAAACATTGTTATTACTAAATTGCTGTTTGGAATTTTTCGAATAACTTTCGAAGTTTTTGTAGTACTATCACGTGGTTGGTATCAAAATGTTCAAAAGAAAATGAGGAACAACATATATTTTTTTCGAAAATTCAATAAAATCCAAGATTAACACCCCTGTGACCCCTTACCTGTTTTGAACTGTTACATTCAACGCTTATAATCATTCCAATGATTTCATTCTCCCTCAAGAACACTGAGCAACATAAATTTTTCCATAACATAGACAGCATTTAAACTTAAATTAGGAAGTTTCAGGCTTTACATCATTTGACTTCTCACAAGGCTCCGCATTTAAATAGAGGTAAGCCAATTTCATACCTCTATTGTTTATTTCATTGTCAAACACTGCACACAAACACTGCAATGATTTTACAGTCCTCACCCTATCGACAGTATCAAAGGTCATGCTACCCTCTCACACTTTCTGTGCTTAGCAAAAAACAAAGAAAAAAAAGTAAAACAAAAAAGGAACATTGATTCACAAAGTAGAAGAATGATATTATACTTATAACATAGGCATTTCTTTACGTGGAATATGTAATTATTAAGTTTTCGTAAACTCTGTGAATTGAATAAACAATTTTTAGTTAAATTTCACGTGGACGAAGTCGCGGGTAACAGCTATTTAACATTAAATTAATGCATCAGAAAGTAATATTAACGTATTACACATCCAGATACAAATTATTTACATTATTTTAATGCGCTTATTACACAAAATTTGTAACAATGTGTTAATTTTTCTAAGCAGGAGGTGTTTTCTAAAATTGATCCATAAGAGAGTAACGGGGCGTTATAAGTAAAAAATCTTTTTTATCAACTATTATATCAACAGACTTAAAATGTAGCAAACATGGTTTTTTGTTCAGCTGAGATATGCAAAAAGCTTTTTTCTTTTTGTTTAATTTACAATTCACGTAAAATTAACTCATTAAAAACTTCTTTATCCTTCAGTCTGTATTGCTTAAATTTTCAATTCACCCGTGCGAAGAACGGGTATACCAGCTAGCTACGAAATAAAATCTAATGAATGCATTCACAAAATTTAGGTACACAAATTAAAGATCTGTAAGTACAACATACGTGTAGGATTTTATAACGCTACGTGTAAAAACTGTTTGAATATCTTATTAGAACGTGTAAAAATTATAGAAACCGAAAATATCAAACTTAAAGACAACTTAAAATTTTTTTTACTATAAAATAAGTTATATTTATGCTCCA